ATTGTGTAGGTGTGTTTGTGATCCAGTGATGTGTTTAATTGTGTAGGTGTGTGATCCAGTACTGTTTGTAAATGAGCAGGTGTGTGATTCAGTACTGTTTGTAATTGTGTAAGTGTGTGATACAGTACTGAGTGTGATTGGGTATGTGTGTGATCCAGTACTGTGTGTGGTTGTGTCGGTGTGTGATCCAGTGCTGTTAGTAATTGTGTAGGTGTGTGTTCCAGTACTGTTTGTAATTGTGTAGGTGTGTGATCCAGTACTGTGTGTCCAGTTGTGTAGGTGTGTGATCCAGTGTAATTGTGTAGGTGTGTGATCCAGTACTGTGTGTGTGTGTGATCGAGTACTGATTGTACTTGTGTAGGTGTGAGATCCAGTACTGTTTGTAATTGTGTATGTGTGTGATCCAGTACTGTTTGTAATTGTGTAGGTGTGTGATCCAGTTCTGTTTGTAATTGTGTAGGTGTGTGATCCAGTACTGTTTGTAATTGTGTAGGTGTGTGATCCAGTACTGTTGATGATTGTGTAGGTGTGTGATCCAGTACTGTTTGTAATTGTGTAGGTGTGTGATCTAGTACTGTTTGTAATTGTGTAGGTGTGTGATCCAGTACTGTGTGTGTGTGATCCAGTACTGTGTGTGATTGGGTCGGTGTGTGTTCCAGTACTGTTTGTAATCGTATAGGTGTGTGATCCAGTACTCTTTGCAATTGTGTAGGTGTGTTCCAGTACTGTTTGTAATTGTGTAGGTGTGTTCCAGTACTGTTAGTAATTGTGTAGGTGTGTGTGTGTTCCAGTACTATTTGTAATCGTGTATGTGTGTGATCCAGTTCTATTTGTAATCGTGTAGGTGTGTGATCCAGTACTGTTTGTACTTGTGTAGGTATGTGTTGGTAATTCTGTAGATGTATGTATTATTCTGTACTGCAGATGTGTGCATTATTCTGTACTGTAGATGTATGTATTATTCTGTACTGTTGATGTGTGTATTATTCTGTACTGTGATGTGTGTATGTGTGTATTATTCTGTACTGTAGATTTGTGTATTATTCTGTACGGTAGATGTGTGTACTATTCGGTATGTAGATGTGTGTAGATGTGTGTATTATTCTGTACTGTAGATGTGTGTATTATTCTGTACTGTAGATGTATTATTCTGTACTGTAGATGTGTGTATTATTCTGTACTGTAGATGTATGTATTATTCTGTACTGTAGATGTATGTATTATTCTGTACCGTAGATGTATGTATTATTCTGTACTGTAGATGTATTATTCTGTATGTAGATGTATTATTCTGTACTGTAGATGTATGTATTATTCTGTACTGTAGATGTGTGTATTATTCTGTACTGTAGATGTGTGTATTATTCTGTACTGTAGATGTGTGTATTATTCTATACTGTAGATGTGTGTATTATTCTGTACTGTAGATGTATGTATTATTCTGTACTGTAGATGTATGTATTATTCTGTACTGTATGTATCATTCTGTACTGTAGTTGTATGTATTATTCTGTATGTAGATGTGTGTATTATTCTATACTGTAGATGTGTGTATTATTCTGTACTGTAGATGTATGCATTATTCTGTACTGTAGATGTATGTATTATTCTGTACTGTAGATGTATGCATTATTCTGTACTGTAGATGTGTGTATTATTCTGTACTGTAGATGTGTGTATTATTCTGTACTGTAGATGTATGCATTATTCTGTACTGTAGATGTGTGTATTATTCTGTACTGTAGATGTATGTATTATTCTGTACTGTAGATGTGTGTATTATTCTGTACTGTAGATGTGTGTATTATTCTGTACTGTAGATGTGTGTATTATTCTGTACTGTAGATGTGTGTATTATTCTGTACTGTAGATGTGTGTATTATTCTGTACTGTAGATGTGTGTATGATTCTGTACTGTAGATGTGTGTATTATGTGTGTATTATTCTGTACTGTAGATGTATTATTCTGTACTGTGTATTATTCTGTACTGTAGATGTATGTATTCTGATGTAATGTGTGTATTATTCTGTGTATGTATTCTGTACTGTAGATGTGTGTATTATTCTGTACTGTAGATGTATTATTCTGTACTGTAGATGTGTGTATGTGTATTCTGTACTGTAGATGTATGTATTATTCTTTACTGTAGATGTATGTATTATTCTGTACTGTAGATGTATGTATTATTCTGTACTGTAGATGTAGGTATTATTCTGTACTGTAGATGTATTATTCTGTACTGTAGATGTATTATTCTGTATGTAGATGCGGGTATTATTCTGTACTGTAGATGTGTGTATTATTCTGTACTGTAGATGTATTATTCTGTACTGTAGATGTATTATTCTGTACTGTAGATGTATTATTCTGTACTGTAGATGTACTATTCTGTATGTAGATGTATGTATTATTCTGTACTGTAGATGTATGTATTATTCTGTACTGTAGATGTATTATTCTGTACTGTAGATGTGTGTATTATTCTGTACTGTAGATGTGTGTATTATTCTGTACTGTAGATGTATTATTCTGTACTGTAGATGTATTATTCTGTACTGTAGATGTATGTATTATTCTGTACTGTCGATGTATTATTCTGTACTGTAGATGTGTGTATTATTCTGTACTGTAGATGTGTGTATTATTCTGTACTGTAGATGTAGATGTATTATTCTGTACTGTAGATGTATGTATTATTCTGTACTGTAGATGTGTGTATTATTCTGTACTGTAGATGTGTGTATTATTCTGTACTGTAGATGTATGTATTATTCTGTACTGTAGATGTATGTATTATTCTGTACTGTAGATGTGTGTATTATTCTGTACTGTAGATGTATGTATTTTTCTGTACTGTAGATGTACTATTCTGTATGTAGATGTATGTATTATTCTGTACTGTAGATGTATGTATTATTCTGTACTGTAGATGTATGTATTATTCTGTACTGTAGATGTATGTATTATTCTGTACTGTAGATGTATTATTCTGTACTGTAGATGTATGTATTATTCTGTACTGTAGATGTATGTATTATTCTGTACTGTAGATGTATTATTCTGTACTGTAGATGTATGTATTATTCTGTACTGTAGATGTGTGTATTATTCTGTACTGTAGATGTGTGTATTATTCTGTATGTAGTAGTATTATTCTGTATGTATGTATTATTATTGTACTGTAGATGTATGTATTATTATTCTGTAGATGTATTATGTATGTATTATTCTGTACTGTAGATGTAGGTATTATTCTGTACTGTAGATGTATTATTCTGTACTGTAGATGTGTGTATTATTCTGTACTGTAGATGTACTATTCTGTATGTAGATGCGGGTATTATTCTGTACTGTAGATTTGTGTATTATTCTGTACGGTAGATGTGTGTACTATTCGGTATGTAGATGTGTGTAGATGTGTGTATTATTCTGTACTGTAGATGTGTGTATTATTCTGTAATGTAGATGTGTGTATTATTCTTTACTGTAGATGTGTGTATTATTCTGTACTGTAGATGTGTGTATTATTCTGTACTGTAGATGTATTATTCTGTACTGTAGATGTATTATTCTGTATTGTAGATGTGTGTATTATTCTGTACTATAGATGTATTATTCTGTACCGTAGATGTATGTATTATTCTGTACTGTAGATGTATGTATTATTCTGTACTGTAGATTTATGTATTATTCTGTACGGTAGATGTATTATTCTGTACTGTAGATGTGTATTATTCTGTACTGTAGATGTGTGTATTATTCTGTACTGTAGATGTGTGTATTGTGTATTATTCTGTAGATGTGTTATTCTGTACTGTAGTGTGTGTATTATTCTGTATGTATGTATTATTCTGTACTGCAGATGTGTGCATTATTCTGTACTGTAGATGTATGTATTATTCTGTACTGTTGATGTGTGTATTATTCTGTACTATAGATATGTGTATTATTCTGTACTGTGTGTATTATTCTCTAATGTAGATGTTTGTATTATTATGTGTTATTTGCATAGTGAATTATTTTTCTATTAAGGTTAGTATCGTATTCTGAAGTAGAGTGTGCTATTCTGTAGATACGTTTGTGATTATGTGAGTATGTTAATTTGTTGTTCAATATGTTGTGATGTGAGTATGTTAATCTGTTATTCAATAGTTTTATGTGAGTATGTTAGTCTGTTGATCAATATGTTATTATGTGAGTATGTTAGTCTGTTGATCAATATGTTATTATGTGAGTATGTTAGTCTGTTGATCAATATGTTATTATGTTAGTCTGTTGATCAATATGTTATTATGTGAGTAGGTTAGTCTGTTGATCAATATGTTATTATGTGAGTATGTTAGTCTGTTGATCAATATGTTATTATGTGAGTATGTTAGTCTGTTGATCAATATGTTATTATGTGAGTATGTTAGTCTGTTGATCAATATGTTATTATGTGAGTATGTTAGTCTGTTGATCAATATGTTATTATGTGAGTATGTTAGTCTGTTGATCAATATGTTATTATGTGAGTATGTTAGTCTGTTGTTATTATGCAGGTGAATGTTCTATTTGTGCTTGGATTTGGAGTGTTCTGTTTACTATTCTGTAGATAACAGTACTATTGCGTAGATAAAGTTATCATATATAAAACTATGTGTAAAAGTTTATATGTCAAGGTGATAATATAAGTTGTGAGTGTATGTATTTTTGTAGAAATGAAAATAATTATATAAAATAAATACATGTATAACAAATAATGTGCAGTACTATTGTGTAAATGCAAATGTGTGTAAAACAGGTACGTGTTGGTGAAAGTGTAAAATGTGTAGTAAGTGTTCTCTGAGAAAGGTATATGCGTCTGATTTACATACCTGTGTGCTTTGTTTTTTTCACTCAATCATCTTTAGTTGCCCCCGTGATTTTTTTTTTTTTTTTTTTACATAATTCATTTAAATGAAATGTTGCAATGTAAAATCAAACGTTTCCTTCTCCAAACAACATAGCACTGACGTCATTAGGCGTACCGGAAGTCATCAAAAGTATTGAGATCTCGTCGTAGAGGAATGTTTATGTCCTTGAGCATGCGCTCTGACTCTACATTCCTGTAGCCTAATTGTAGATATAGTGGTTGACATACATCATCAATTGTATTGACCAACTCCAGTGGAGCATGTTTTCTCCAAGCTTCTGCCTGCGCAGTTGAATTAGAACTCCGTGTGCAAAGCTGTCCACAGTTTTTTGGAACATTTGCTGACGTCATAGAGTGTACATCTGTCTCTATTTTGGCTGTGTATGTCATATTTGTAAATTTGTATAAAATCTTAGCATAACGTTTCGGATCCTTAGCAACGTCCTCATAATATATACGCAAGATCCTTCCCGGAAATGACGTCAGAAAACGTTCCGCCGTGACAACATCCCTGTATACACGGTTGCAAAAGCCAGTCACGTGCTGTCGGAAGTGAGCTGTTGGGATGACGCCATAAGCATGTTGTGACAATGTAGTGGCTCGAGGATCGCGTATGAGATGAATGACACGCAAGTTCGACATCGAGGTCATCAAGGGTTCTAAGAGGTCCATCGGGATCCGGATTATCTTTAAGGCAGAATGACTGGAGTTCATGCAGACCATTTTGGTTACACTTATGCAGGAACGGCTCTCCTCGATTGTTTTTGATTTGCTTACACAATATCGCATGCCTTTTGCTTTTCTGCTTAAAGATAAGAACCCATTTAACCACATTTGTGTAGGAAGACTTTCCATGTCACAGGTGGCGAGACCACTAATAGTCAGTTTGGCGACATCCAGAAAATTTTCATACTTCCTACAAAAGTAAGAAAAAATATTGGTGATATTTTATCAAAATTTATTACTTCAAATTACATTTCAGAATAACCTCACAAAATATCACAACAAGTCAACTGTGTCAACAAAATCATAGTCCAAACTCAAATTTAAAAAAAAGGCTGGGGAAAATATTAACAAAGGAGAAATCTATACAGACTTTTTTAATAGGGGAGAATACTAAAACTTCATTCAAGTTTTCCTGTGTATTAAATTTAAATTAAAGTCAAATTTCCCGTTTTGTTGTGACCTATTTAGATATAGAAGACTGAGACTTGCCAAACTTTATACATGTTGAAATGTGCATTAAAGAGTTCCTTACAGAAGAACCGAAAATTGAAGAAAAAGGGTGTGTTCAGAATTATAGATTAATGTTGAAATCTTGTAGTGAACAGAACCTAGCCAGAATGCCCGTGATACTCACTTACCTTGACGTTCCGTTAAGAAAAGTAAACGTTTCCTGGCTCCTAACTGCCATCTGGATTGCGTGCAGGGGTTCAAACAGGTAATAAACATCCGGGTTAGTCTGAAGCACGCTTCCCAGGAATGAAGATCCACTGCGCATATACGTCAGCAGAATGACTGGTATTGGTTCTGTACGAATAAGAATAGATATAAATAAAACTTATGGCTTGCTGATAACATTTGGGTAATTCAGTCATGATGAAATGTAGTGCCTGTCTGTTATGTAAAACAATTTCTGTTTTTAACACCAAAGTAATTTAATTTGCGTTTAGGAATACGGCCTGTCATACGGTATCGTCTATCCTAAAATGCAGTCCTGTTACTCCTAGAATTAACTTCCGGCTGTTTATTTATCTATTTATTTATTTATTTATTTATTTATTTATTTTGTTGTTTCTTATTCATTTACAGTGACCACATGGATACGTCTGTATCAGACCACTCCCTCCAGTAAGCAAATATCATCATTTCTGCTGTGAAATTAGAATAAACACTATTTTCATCAATAACATATTCACGTTTTTTATCAAAAATTAGAAGCCAAGAATTTTATTTTTTACGGAAATATGAAACGGAACGTTATTTTATTGTTTATAATGTTCTTGTATCAAATTTTGGTTTTCCGTTTTAGGAAACTTTGGAAAATACAACCCCTCGAAAGTAAGATAATAAAATTATAAACAGCGTTACCAGAACACGATTTACCTCGGACTTGAGATACGTTGTTTCCATTGTGTGAAAACTGTTGTTCGTGGTAAGTTGATACGTCTTTCCGAAGATCCCTTACTTTCTGTGATAATGGTGGGCTACCTATAATAGAAGGTGACACTTAGACACATGCTTATTAATACTGTATTATCTTAGACGTTTGTGTCTTATTTGCTCTGTTATCTACAGTTGTATTTTATGAATTTGAATTTTCACGTGTGGACTATATTTTGTGGCGGAGTTGTTTTCCCGTTATTAAAGTACTTCTTGTTTGCATGTTTTCTCACAAATCACAGATTTGAAAAAAGGTTAATTCTGATTGTTCTTTCCTGGATTTTAAATTTCAACAGTAAATATTTCAGTGTGTTTCTTGAAAAATGAATTTTGCAAAATAAGCGATAATGATTATAACCACAGCTTAGCCATCCCATCTTGTTTGATCATCAGTAACATCCTTTAATGTTGCTATCAAATCAGAAACATATTTCTTTAATATTTTTTTTCTTCAAAATTTTCAGTTTGGAGCTCGTTTAATCATTAGATTAAACGATTTTAGCATTTCACATCACTTTTTCTTATAATCCCAATATCATTTTTAAGTTTTTATGAAAGAGGGGCAATTTAGGAGGAAAATGTGACCACCAAAATAACATAGAATGCCCTTTTATGAACGAAAAAATGAAAGTCAGTTACAATTAATATTTCCTATTCACAATGTTCTGACTCCTGTAGCCAAAATTAAAAAAACGAATGTAGCAACATCTTTTTCTTCTAAAAAAAATATCATTTCAAAAAAGTCACCAGAACGAAAACAATTGCCATCTTAACCTACATACATCTTAAACTGTAATTGATAAATCATATTCTTAAAGATGTTGTATTGTATTCAAATGCATTACTTTGTTGATTAAATCACTACAGACATTTATCCGTATAAAATTACGTACGTTCGCGTTCCATGATTTTGACCAGTAGAAACACTGAAATAGCAACAACACACAAGCACATGACCGGACTGCGGAATACCTTAGCAGCCATGTCAGTTATCTGACGTCACTTCCGTGAAAATATGTATTAGTTGTTTTTTTCTAATCTTTCTAACTTTAACTAAAGTGATCTTCTGTTCAACAAAACAGACGTAACAATCAGTGGTCTCCCGTATCTTTGTATCCTATTTAACAAATCTTTCTTTTTTCGATAACGTTCTCAGAAATATTTTGCAGAAACCATTTACACAGTAAACCTCACGTCTGCTTTCAAAATATGCTTAAATCCCAAACCACACGTTCATATTTCGTCAGGATTGTTTTCTTTCTGAAGTTTAGAATATCCGTGACTGTCTTGCTGTTTAAACAATTCTTTATAAAGTGATTATTTTCAAACAGTTCTGTCCACGGTATATTTCCAAACGTCCTGTGAGCGAATTATCATCATATCAATACGTCATAAATGTGGAAACATTAAAAATCACCGAGCGAAAATAATAATCCGAAGATTTTGTCAGCTAAAACACACGAGTGTATGTCGGTATATAAATTGGGTTTTTGTCCATTGATCAGAAGTGATATGATATTGAGGCACCATGTGATACGAATCAAACGAGATCCTGACGAAGATAATGGCGCGTCCACTTAAAATCGATGCTATATGGCTTATTTATGTCAAACGTGTCGCGTGATAAGCTTTATAATATATCCTGTTGGTAGGCTGTGTGCTATATATCCATATCGACTTAACACGGAGTCTACAGAAGAATTTTATAACCTAGAATGCACATCATATCTCATTTTATCATCTCCAATGTCATAATAGCATCGCACATTTCATTTCATCTTCAATTTTAATATTTCATATTTTCTACGGTAACTGGACAAAACGAACAGTCTATATAACACTGGTGCTGAAGGAGTAATATCGATAGGCAAATTTTACACAAGTAATATTGTTGTATGACACACCATTGTAATACAGTTTTACTATTGTTCACTTCCATTATCCTTGCCTTAACTTTTTAATAATTCTATTACGGAATAAATAATTATTTATGGGTATTTTAAATGAGAGTAGATATGCTATAGAAATATTAGAAAAGAAGTGTTTGTATCTATAAGCATGTTTGCTATATGCATGTGTTCTTGCAAGTGCGCTCTGTGCGATTTCAAAAGTTTAAATTCAAATATTAAAAAATAATATTATTGACCACATAAAAAAGTGTTTAAGCTGCAATCTGACTTCATTACGTAGGGGGGGGGGGGGGGGATTACAAAGATAGGACATTACATATAAGTTATGATAATATCAGTGAATCGTGACTCAGTTTTCTCCTGTGAGAAAAACAAACAAGTATCACATAAACAATACAAATTTAGTAGGAAAGATGGCTTATATACAATTTGTATGTCAAATGATAAAATTTATTGTATCATACAAGTTTTTCGTTCGTCTTGACAACATAACAGATATCAGGTTTCTATCGAACGATCAAAATAAACGTAAAAATACGATTAGAAAAGTGCACTAACGCTAACTCGACGATTCAATAAAAGTTAGAGAGGACGACAAGTACTTGTGTCTAATTGACATTTGAGCAACATGGAGGTAATCATCGTTCTCCCTCGATGTTGTAAATTATGATAAAATAACAGAAAATATTTTGAAAATAGGTTTGGAAAAAATAATTGGAAAACAACCATTTTTCAAAAACATGTATATACCGAATTTATCTATAATTAAGTTAGACATCACCGTTAAATGATCTTCCTCTAAAGTTTCTGTTACAGAATTTAACACTCCTAAGTCAGTACCACTGATGTGTACAATCTCATGTTACATTGGTACAAAAACATTGAAACGAAGAATAAAGTGTCTTTGTTCCGTGCAATATGTTGATCATTTAGAACAGTACTGTGATAAACATCAGCGAACTTGTATCTACTTTTCTGGTTCGTAATTAAGTTGTAATTTAACAGGTGATATAGATTTACGATATATTTAGTTCTAATTTGACGGAAAGATGGTGAGTTTGTCTTAAATATGGAGGCGTTTTTCGTTTTCCGCTACTGTAAAATAAGATATTTGCGAGATGCTAAAACAATATTCAGGGATATTTGATTTTATGAATAAATTTCGATAATAAATAAATAAATAAATCTATTTATACCATTTAACGATACCAGGCAATATCAATTCGTTGCTAGGTGTACATCCGATATCAACGAATATAAACTCCTAGAATATTGCTGATTTTTTGCCGAAGATTTACAATATTGATTAAAATTGCAGATATCGCATTAAGTACTGGCGTTATGGTCACTATAAACATCCCTAACAAGAAAATAGATTAAATACTTAATGCACATATGGGTTTCAATGTTCAGATAACAAAAGGAGAATATTATGGCGACAATCAAGAGCTCAAAAAGACAGTTTCAGAGGTAGCCTTTCTTTGAAGATAAATGTAAGGACAAAAAATGTTAATCAATAAAGCATTCATTCAAACGATAATTGGTCTCCACAGATTTCTGGGTAATAAAAACAGCGTTTTGTGGTAATAGGTATTTACAGCGGCAGTCATTTGTATGCACACAGTAATAAAGTGGTATTACCGAGGCGGCATATGTTCCCTCTCTACGTATCGCTCTCAACACATAAAATATTGTTATTTTCACTATACAACGTACTGAAACATTCCTAAGACTGAATCATGCGTTGATTCATAAAACAAAATAATGAGCCAAGTCTCAAAAAAAAAAAAAAAATGATAAAAAAACGTTTAAAGTATAATCGGATACGTACCGGAAGTGGGATCGAGTTAAGACGAACTTCAAAAATCATGAAATAAATAAATTATGTGACAAAAACAAATTTTGATTACTGTATTGTAGAGATTTGTAGCCCTTTGAACAAAATTATGATTGCTTGAATTTTTCTTACTAACAAATGGTATTTCATGAACACTTCCGATAGGTATCAACAAATTGACAATGCATCAAACTCAAGGCGTCATAATGTTTATCTTTTTTGTCTTAAAGAATTCTTGTGTCACTTCGCAGACGACAATGTTAAAATATCTTTCTTTTGTCCACGCAACTAAGCGTTATATACAATTCAAATTGATATCCAAATCATATGACAAAAATAGACAAACAATTGATACCTTGAGCAACTTCAGGGTCGCTATAACAGGAAAGAGAAGCCTCGAGGCTGTACACTGATAGGTTCAGATGAAAGATAGTGTGTACGAGGTGTAATTGATTTCTAGGACAACAATGTTATAGCAAGTAATTTATGAGTATAGAAATGGTATGATGTTATGAGAAGGATTCGATTTCTAGATAACCGTCTAACAGTACATGTTATTACATATGATTTCTCGATATAGGTGCGGTTTTCACCGGTGATTGATTTCATAGTTATCATCATAGTTTAAACCTTACAAGATATTGTCATCCCCCGAGGGCAGGTTTTTACCAAGCATTTTCTACATAATGTAACGGGACAATTTTAAATCTACCTATTTCTATGATTTGCGCTATTCATCATGATCTGTACAGACATGTTAGCGACGTCCTCCTTATTTATTTGATTGTATTTATCTATTTATTTTTATTGTATTTATCTATTTATCTATTTATTGCAGTGTGTTATTAGTTAAGGTAAAATCCAAAGTTAATGAATTCTCCTAATCTAGCGACTATAAACCTATTTTCAAATGATATCGTAAGTTATTTATGTTTGATGAAATTTTATTGTTACTAACATGGCTGTAAGCTAGATTCTCTATTTCAATTAGCGGTCGAGGAGATGTGATGTCATTCATATACGATGTTGTCATACTTCCAAACTTTACCCTCGCGGTAGTAAAGATATTTGCGATATTCTATTACTATTACTTAATTCTTTCCTAATTTCTAATGCATTGTATTAGCAAAGAAAATGAGATGAAAAGAACATTTAAAGTGTTTGTTTACGTTAAACGAGATGAACTCTTTTGTGAATCAATATCATATTAAAGATGTTTACATTTATACCATGATACAACAAACTACATCAATAGTGTAGACAGAAATAAATCATAAACTTTGTTTTATCGTATTTAAGAACTAAATGAAGACAATTAGATAAACTTGGATAACTGTGTTGATTTTTTGTGTCCGCTGTATCATTTTTCTTACTATTTTGTAAATTGCTTTTAAATTTTACGATATCATTTTGACTAATCGACAGAAAACTTTTTGACAAAATAAAGCATAATCCTTAAAAAATATATGATATATTCAAATAATATAAATAATACGCCAACATATCTATCTAATCAGATTTTATGAGTGGTGATATCTTATTTGTATTTACTTGTAATATATTAGATTCCTTGGTAAACAGATAAACGCTTGTACTTACTCTTTCAATCCAACTGACCTTGCAGCAGATCCCGAGTTCAACGGTAAAGGTCAAAGTTCAGTATGGACTGTTCTCGAAAATCTTGTGGCAGAAAGTAGATCGTCAAACTTCACTGGTGAAGGAAATTAACAGATTTATACAATCACGTGTTGAATTTGTTAACTTTCAATTCAATATATAAAGTAAATCATGGTATGAACTTTGTTCACATACAAACTATGACATACTGTACTTGATTTAAACATCAATCGTATTGACAATGTTGCATCTTTTTATTATTATGGAACAAAAGCTGTAATTTCATTTTCAAAGAATCATTTAGTATTTTGGCGAGAACGATAAATTGTAAAACCATTTATAGAAAGATATTTACTTATAAAAAATTTCATCGAATGATTGCATCTATTATATGGAAAATGCTGCTCATTATGTTGTAAAAATTCATAAAGTTCTCACTTTGTTAAAGTAAAGGGAAAACTAAGTAAAATTAAAAAGAAGATATTTGATATACATATATATATAATATCGTACATGATCTCTTGATTAAAAGAAATAAAAAAATAAACTTACCTGCTTTTCTCGCCAGCCAAGTACATGGATACCCAAATTTACTTGGCTGGCGAAAACCAGACGGTGTC